TGGTTGCGAAATTAATTAGTCATGGTCGCCAGTTGACTCACTCACTAGCGGTATTCAACGATATATACTCCCCCGTCACAATAACGACAGCTCGGTATCGCACGTCTTCGGACGCTCAAGGCCTGATCCATCTTTCGGTACAGGAAACCTCCGGGTTTCATTTTCTGTCATGTCCACTACGGTAGTCCTAGTAAGGAAGTACTAGTGATTGATTAATGTATTATTGGTATGTGTGAGGGCGTTTACACCACCACTGGGGGGGGGGGGGCACTCCCCGAATAAAATCATTGCCTAAAATATATCCGGTCATGATACTACCATGATTTTGATAGTATGCCCTTACTCGCGATTGTTACCTGGCGTCTTTGTCAGAGACCAATGAACTGTTGACGTCTTGAAGGCGCTCACTATGGCGCACCTTAGCCTCGTATTTGGCGAACCTCATGCCGCAATGGCAAGTAGCGTGCACCCGAGTCCAAACGGTAACGCGTACGTGTAAGGGTTGTTTCTGCTTCTCTCTGACGGTGTAACCTGTAGCGCGAAGAGCGTGAAGTCGTGCGTAGAAACTTGGCGCCAATAACTACGGATCGTTTTGAATCTATATTCACTAAGGCCTCTGTTGCTTTTGTCGGGCCGGCTAGTATTAAGGCGCAGAGTTCAGTAAGCTAGCATCGGTTTATTAACCGTAATTACATGTTTTGTAATGTATTTGGCTAGTGCAACAGGATCAGTAGGTATTATGTCGCTGAGCAATGTATATTACAATGTAGTATGTGTATATATGATGTAATACCTTTCTGGGCTAAATATTGTTGTGATCTGGCCAGTACCCTTCGTTATGATGCATATAGTGACGGAATATGCGAACATCCGTCCCTTGGGAAGAGTTAATTGATCAGTAAGCTTATATTCGCTTCCAACGCTCTCGGTTAAACCTAGAAAGCAACAAACACCATATGTAAGGGAAAGAAGATTACTAGTCTAGTAGAAAGTACGTAGAAAAGGTTAAACCAGGATATATATGAAATATGTTCTCATAGGGCAATTAAACATAGCAATTGCTAATGAATAAATAACATCAAGCGACAGTGGCTCCATAATGGCAACTGTCTTCGGAAACAACATGAATCTATGCTAAACATGTGTCATGTGTTGGTGGCTACAGATGTGTACACATACGACACATACTCCTTACATAAAAGATGTATGAAGGTAATTAAGTCTGTAAGAGCAGCTGCATGGGAATCACAGTCACATTAACCCCCTCGTAATGCCTGGGTAAACGCGCAAGCACGCTCACTCATGAAATGTCCAGGAGCCCGGCAACTCTTGTATAATCTTGAGCGTGGAGTGTTTCGGTTCTAATATTGGCGTATAAAAAAACAATCGGCGAAAACCCAGTTATTCTCGCACGCATAACGTTGCGGTTAACGATTGTTGCGCAATCTTCTATAAAATAACCCTAGAAAATACTCACATCACGTATGAGTAGAAAATAAGCTGTTTACAAGGACGACGACGAATAAAGCGCACTGTAAAGATATTTTTACAGCCAACGATATTTTTTATATATCTGTTAATATTGTAAGTCACATATAACGATAAGGTCGGCACGATTCATGTTGGCTTGTACCAATAGATAGCTACATAACTATGTCTATGCTAAGATGGTCATCGATGTCATATATGCGCAGTATGTAGTCTTTACGCCGTGTGTTGCTAGAAAATATTGTGGTTCGTAGGCGGTTGATGGTGGCACAACTGACCCGGCCTATCACGTCAATCCACTTCCTGCTGCCAGTTTCGTCTGCCACTCTGAGGTTGGTAGCAAAGGCAGTAGGACCACATTGACCAGCAGCGTCTGCCCGTCGGTCTCGTAAACCGCCGGAAGGAAGATCAGGGATTTTGTGCGAGGATCTGCTTGTCCGTCAACCTGATTGATGTTAGTTAGATGACGACGTATCATGCAGTCAGTGCCGTTTTTAAAACGTGAAGAATGCATTTGGCGAACGGCGCGTTAAATATAGGCACGAACGGATATCTTAAAGAGGGGCGATTTTCTTTTGAGCTGAAGCGCGGTAAACTACTCCAAGGGTATCCCATATTGGCGCGTGGTGCATGTGTAATGAGTGCGTGTATGTATGTGTGTATGTGGAGGGGTCCACTCACATGCAGTTTACGGCCAGGTAAAAATATGCCTTTTCCCATTTCCGGTTAATTAAAACCCATCTTTCGGCTTCCAGTGTCCGGCTGACTTCTATCCCGAGAAATAAAGAAAGAAATATTTATCGCGTATATTTCGGGTCTAATCCCACATCCGAAAAATACACGCCTCGTGGCTGCATAAAAGTACAAGCCGTTTCGCGCGTTACACCACCCGTAATTCACGGAACTTTTAGTGTTGTTCAACCTTTTTCAAATTTTTTTTTTCCGTTTATTAAGTAATGTTATATAGGCTGAGTTGGCCATTATTTTGTAAAATGATGGCGGCCATGGGGGGCGCTTTTCGATGGTCTAAGTCGTTACGGTATATTTTACCACACACTTTATGAACTTCGGCCAAGAATTTGTCATGCATTTGCCTTGTGAGGGCGTCCATCATGCAACTGGGAAGTCTGGTGTCCGTACCAGGAATGTAATAACCGTCATATTAAAGCGTGCACCAAGGCGCGCACAAAAGCGCATACACCACACACGCCGCACACGCACGCGAGAGCAGTACGCACACACGACGCAGCGCCATACGGGGCCGGACGAACCACGGCCACACACATCTGCCTCTATAGCATCAAAAATATCCTAATCTGCTCCTATTGGTCGCATCGGTCGCTTAAGAAAATTCCCCTGTCCGTGAACGTTTGTTGAAACAGCAGCTTTTTGGCCACTTGCTTCAAGCACGCGACAAGAAGATTATATAAGTATTCGTGAATGGGAGGCCGCGCTGCATGACAGAAATTCTTACATACGGTTGTCCGTACTCTTTATGAAGTTCGGTCTAAGCGCCAGAGAGTCTTCGTAGTGAAGGTTCGACAAAGAAGTCTTGATCTTTCTTTTTAAAGGAATTGTATTTTTAAACAGGCTTTAGAAGTGGAGTAAGTATCGGGAAAAAAACTGCAGTAGAAGACAGCAATGTTATGAATATTTGAAAATGATTAACAATTACTGTAAATCTGTTATTAGTGTGTGCGCATGACCATTATACATATAGACCACAAACATCGTGTTTGTGATAGGATGTCTGGGGTTAAAAGTGAAGGCAAAATAATGTTGTGACTGGCGAGCGGCCTTCTATCATTGTTTTGTGGATTTAATTATAAACAACTTGAATGGGTAGATTTGGTAGCAGAAAAGGGTGTCAAATGATTAATGCGGTGTCTAAACTTGTACGGTCCAATTGGCAATCAATTATAATGCAAGCCATTAAAATCTCCACAAAAGGAGGAGTCATTTCGGTTCACAATCGAAGCTTATAGTTTATGTGAATTATCCTATTTATTGAATTGTGTTTTTTAGTTCTGGGTGCAAAGTGTTGCTATTCAATTGGACGTCGCGAGCATGTTTGCGGGCGGCTTGAATCGCTACACGCTTAGACGTAGCGGGACTTGGACAACGTCGCACGACAAGGCACAGCACCATGACCAGCCTTCGACATTCGAGCCTGGTAGTATTACATACACACAACACAGCACGCACGCACGCACGCACGAACGCACACACAAACATATATATACATACGTACATACATATATACATACATACATACATACATACATACTACCCTACAGTACTACATACATAGCATAACATACATACATAATACACATACACTACATACATACATAACATACATTACATACATACTAGCATACAACGTACATACATACATAACATACATAGCATAGCATACATACATACATACATACATCAGCATACCATACATGAACATACATACTACATACATACCGAGCATACATACATAATCATACATACATACATACATACATACATACATCTACATACATATACATACATACATAACATAATTAATATCATACTATACATACCACATACACTAGCATACATACATACCATACAACATACAATACATACATACATACTACATAGTCATTATACGCATACATACAATACAATACATACACACTAATCATATACATACGTACATCGTACGATACGACATACGTACATAGGGGGGGGGGGGGGGGGCGTACTGTATGCGTACCGTACACGTACGCGTCACGTACGTAGTGGTACGTACGTCATAACATACATACATACATACATACATACATACACACATACATACATACATACATACATACCAATCTACTACATAACAATACATACATACATACATACTACATTACATACCATAATACATTACATAATCATAGCATATCATCAACGGTACATACATATCATCTACATACATACATACATACATACCATGACATACGTACATACATACATACATACATACAACATACATACATACATACATACAGTACATACTACATCATACATACATACATACATATCACGATCATACATACATACATACATCCATACATAGCATAATACATCATACATACATACCATACATACATACATACATACATACATACATACATACATCATAACACCATACATACATACATACATTCATACATTCCATACATACATACATAGATACATTACATAAAACACCCACACACGATCGCCGACCCGCCAGCGCCAACACGCACACGCAGACGCACACGGCGGCACCACGCCGATGAGGTGGGCACGCACGCACGCAGCGCACGGCACGGCACAAGCACACATACACACACACTATATACATACATACATAAACACACACACACACACACATCTACACACGCTACACACACCACACACACACACACACCACACACAGCACACACACCCCACACAGTCCTCGCATATAATATTATAAATAATATATATATATATATATATATCACTAGTCACTCACATATAACGCTGATGGCTATGTTAAACGGATTGAAGTCGAAGGCGTTCTTGGCGTGTTTAACGAAGGGCGACTCTTTGCCCGGCTGCTGTGAGTCCGCCTGCAGGCCAAACATCGTGCTGCTGATCACGTCCAGCGTGAAGCCGCCCCAAATGCTGATATGAAACGGAGGAAATGGATGATACAGACTCCTGCGCGCGAAAGAAATGACATCTTCGCATGTGGAAGGTGAATAGCAACGACATCGTCATTCGTTACTCGCTACGCAAACTGCACTTCGCGCAGTCATGTGCTTGAGAAAAGTACTTCCTAAAGATATATTAACACATAATGTCAGTAGTGTGTTACAATTACAGTTACGTGTGGTGATATCTGTCAGGATATAGGACGTCTGTGTCAAACCCATAATCTCTCATCATCAAAACATGCCTACACACTTCTGAAATTTAATACAACGAAATGGTAGAATTTTTAACGTACATACCTTTTCGTCTCAAATGGTTTCCTTTCATCGGCCAGTTTTCCAAGGTTAGTCTTCAATGTATTGGCACACTCGTTTATGAGGTGAGTCATCTATTTGAGAACGAGATTTGATAACGAACTATTACTAAACCGACACGCGAATAAAAGCGTCTAGTTAACCACCTTAACTTAGACCATCTTAGACTTAAGTTTCGATATAACGATGCTTTTTTGGTTCGTACCGTAAGCACACAATGAATGTAAAATTAGCACTAGCTGTGGATCCATAATGCCAGGTTAGTTTGAAGACCCCGCCCACATTATATTAACTTATTTAATATATTTACATTTTTTATATAATGTAGCTTATTTTTTTCCCTTCTTCATAAACATCTTACTTACTTCATAAAATTATATAGCATCAAGGGAGAGAAAGTATAGCATGTAATAATATACGCGCAATACTTTCTCTCCCTTGGTAACTGAGTGGCGAATATCGCACCTGTTTTAGCTTGCCGGTCGTGAATGTTGGTGTGAGGATGCTTCTCATATCCTTCCACTTCTCGTTTGTCAGGTTTCCTAAACCTTCCGTAAGAATGTCGTCGCTACTCAGGTCGTCCCCGAAACCCTACAATAATAAATACTAAATACCAGATGCTAAAATATGAAGAAAAATTCATACTAAAACTCTCATGACTCATAATATTTATTTAAAACAAATTACAATAGCACATTCGATCGTACTAGTTGGGCGTTGCGTGGTGCAAACAAAGTGATATAGCGCTATATAGTGGTGTACGCCACTCCGATAACACTGTGAATGTTACAATTCTCTTGTTACGCTGTGTGTGTGTGTGTGCGTGCGTGCGTGTGTTGTGTGTTCTTGTGTCACTGTTGTGAATGTTTTAATGTTACGCTCTTCGATCATTACAGACGTACCAAGCTTTAGTATAGACTATATAGTGTATAGGAAACCACTCACCCTTCTGTTAACAAATGCTACGAGAGCGTCCTTCACAAACACCTGCTTGATTAAGTCCGGATCAGCAAGAAGGAGCGTGGGATGCCTTCCATCATAAACCCTACAAACCAAACATTCGATTTCGACATGTATATATATAGGTGTTCGTGTGTGACTTTACTTCTCTCTCTCTCTCTCTCTCTCTCTCTCTCTCTCTC